AACCATGCTATTGTGTATTTATAAATTGTTGAACGAGTTAGTATAATTTCACTTCTGGGTGAAGGGAGACAGCAATAAGTTGGTCAGCTTGTTGGACGTGTTGGACAGGGTGCAGAGAGACATCAATACGTTGGTAAGCATGTTGGACGTGAGGGACGGGGTGCCGAGAGGCAGCAGTAGTGCAGAAGGACATCAGTAGTACATAGAGACAGCAGTAGCACATATAGACAGCCCTAGTACAGAGAGACAGCAGTAGTACAGAGAGACAGCAGTAGTACATAGAGACAGCAGTAGTATAAAGAGACAGCAGTAGTACAGAGAGACAGCAGTAGTAGAGAGAGATGGCAGCATAACAGAAAGACAGTAGTAGTAGAGAGAGACAGCAGTATAACAGAGAGACAGCAGTAGTAGAGAGAGACATCAGTATAACAGAGAGACAGCAGTATGACAGAGAGACAGCAGTAGCACATAAAAACAGCAGTAGCACATAGAGACAGCAGTAGCACATAGAGACAGCAGAAGTACATAGAGACAGCAGTAGCACATAGAGACAGCAGTAGCACAGAGAGACAGCAGTAGCACATAGAGACAGCAGTAGTAGAGAGAGACATCAGTATAACAGAGAGACAGCAGTATGACAGAGAGACAGCATTAGGGCAGAGAGACAGCAGTAAGCCGCCTATTGGACAGTTTCATTTCATGCGACCTTACATTATAAATAACTTTTTTTTTAAATTTCAAATTCTAAAAATACGAAATTGTTTCCTTAAAATATCTTAATGCTGATGGGGAATCATCTGATTTCAATTTGAAAATACTTAAAATTCGGATTTCCAAACTCTGTCTCAAATTGACAGTTGAAGCATTGGGTGATTTGGTTGGAGTCAAAAGAGCTACACTCATCTAGATCCGATATCCAATCAGCTGCATTTCCCTAGGACAGGATCGACTACATTCTTTTGAGCGAGGGGCCATTTTTAGAAATATATCTGCGTAAAAAATATTTTGGAAACCGCATGCCATTATATTTTGGGAACCGCATGCCGTTATAGTTTGGGAACCGCATGTCATTATAGTTAGGGAACCGCATGCCATTATATATGGGAAACGCATGCCATTATAGTTACGGAACCGCATGCCATTATAGTTAGGGAACCACATGCCATTATAAATTGTTAAATGAAAAATCAAGTATCACTTCAAAGAGCTGCCTGTTACCGAAGTGGGAGTTCCCATAGGATAGGTAGTAAGTTCACACGGTAGCAGTTCCCTAAGATATGAGGTCATGTTCTCATGGCAGTAGTTCTCCCAAACTATGGAGCCATGTTCTCATGGCAGTAGTTTGCTCCCCCCCCCCCAAGCGATGAAGCCATGTTCCCATGGTAGTAATTCCCCCAAGTTATGAAGCATTGTTCCCATGGTAGTAGTTCCCCCAAGTTATTAAGCATTGTTCCCATGGTAGTAGTTCCCCCAAGTTATTAAGCATTGTTCCCATGGTAGTAGGTCCCCCAAGCTATGAAGTATTGTTCCCATTGTAGTAGTTCCACGAACTATGAAGCCATGCTTCAATTATAGTAGTTCCTCCAAGCTATGGAGCCATGTTCCCATGGTAGTAGTTCCCATAAGCTATGAAGCCATGTTCCCATGGTAGTAGTTTCCCCAAGCTATGAAGCTATGTTCCCATGGTAGTAGTTCCCCCAAGCTATGAAGCCATGTTCCCATGGTAGCAGTTTCCCCAAGCTATGAAGCCATGTTGCCACGGTAGCAGTTCCACCAAGCTATGAAGCCATGTTCCCATGGTAGCAGTTCCCCCAAGCTATGAAGCCATGTTCCCACGGTAGCAGTTCCCCCAATCTATGAAGCCATGTTCCCATGGTAGCAGTTCCCCCCAGCTATGAAGCCATGTTCCCATGGTAGCAGTTCCCCCAAGCTATGAAGCCATGTTCCCATGGTAGTAGTTCCCCCAAGCTATGAAGCCATGTTCCCATGGTAGCAGTTCCCCCAAGCTATGAAGCCATGTTCCCACGGTAGCAGTTCCCCCAAGCTATGAAGCCATGTACCCATGGTAGCAGTTCCCCCCAGCTATGAAGCCATGTTCCCATGGTAGCAGTTCCCCCAAGCTATGAAGCCATGTTCCCATGGTAGTAGTTCCCCCAAGCTATGAAGCCATGTTCCCATGGTAGCAGTTCCCCCAAGCTATGAAGCCATGTTTCCACGGTAGCAGTTCCCCCAAGCTATGAAGCCATGTTCCCATGGTAGCAGTTCCCCCAAGCTATGAAGCCATGTTCCCATGGTAGCAGTTCCCCCAAGCTATGAAGCCATTTTCCCATGGTAGCAGTTCCCCCAAGCTATGAAGCCATGTTCCCATGGTAGCAGTTCCCCCCAGCTATGAAGCCATGTTCCCATGGTAGTAGTTCCCCTAAACATTGAAACTCTGCTCCCTAGCTAGTCAACGCTAAATCTTGAGCTGTCTATCAGCTATGGAAGCATATGTCACATAACGCTATTATGAGCGTATGGCCCGTACTATGGTCACATACCTAATGGTAGTGACGTTACTGTGACTAGTACATGGTCGCTCATCTCTGATGATTCACTAGTCCCGGCGTTGAAGAAAAAAACACGGAAAATACACAGGACACTTATAAATCAGCACATAACGGTGTCGGGGAATATAGTGCTATAAATAAAGCTATGACGCTTGCCTAACTTTTAACACTTGAGGAACTGTTCATCCCTAGGTCTGTCTTTGACTACGACTACTGCAACTCCGCCTGTTACTTGAGAATGACCCTCCTAACTTATACTATGTCACAAAGAGCTCTATCTTATATTCGACTCTCTGCCTCCATAGGTGGTCCAGGAAGGCTATCTATGAACACATCCCCTCCCCCGGTCAATTTGGAACGTTAATCGCAAAATGTTCATGCAAAGTCTGGAAGACCCGAAACGTGATATTATGGAAAGAAACAGTCCCCTTTATCTCAAGATGTGAGACTCTCTTAATCTAAACCTCCTTACAATTCCCTGCCCAAAATCACAGCGAAAAGTCCGCCCGCCCTACAAGTTACCTAAACAACAATGGAGCTCTGCTCTGTACCCGTCCCAGTCATCTGTGACGGTCTTAGACACACACAACCGACCTTTTAGGAGCAGTCTTAGACACACACCAACCTTTTAGGAGCAGTCTTAGACACACAATCGACAGCAACAAGAATGCACGCGATTGTCACAAGATATTCACGGGTCAAAATAGACTAATTTCTCAGAAGATAATGATGTGTCACACTGTAATTAAGTATCACGATATCGTCTTGTGTCAAAAAATGATCATTTGTCACAATAAATTCACGTGTCAGAGTAGAGTAAAATCATTTGTCACAGATATGTCCAACTTTATAGCACAGCTATGATAGGGGCCGTCCATAAAGTGTGTCGCGCAATTTTCGAAAATGTTTACCTCATTCACGCTGTCACAATCTGTCACAAATTTTGGAAACATCCCCCCTCCTCTTTTTCCATAACGTACGTCACACCGAATAGTGCAATTAAGAGTGAGGTTAACTTTTAATAAAAGTACTAAAAATTAGTAAGATGGCAATTTAAAACGAAACTGTTAAATAGACTTAGCTTTAAAAAAATTCCCTTTTAGAATTTTTAAAGAGCAAATCAGACATTTTGTTATGTCCAGATGACTATTTATAACCTGCAAGACAGTTTGTGACGCAACTATTGTGCAGACAACTTCTTCTGACTCGGATTAATTCGCCATGTTCAAGCACTCTTACTAAACTCAACTCTGTTTGAGGAATGCAGTCATCTGGCTAACATTCATGATTTCTGCTTAAGTGTACTGTTCAAAAACCTTATTCTATGGGACGCACCAGAATAATATGAAAATACAAGACTGTTTCAAAGCGTCAGTTCCAGACATACATGTTGAAGTATGATGAGTTTTGATAATACTAATAATGTGGTCTTATATAGTGCAGTACCCCAGCCTGGGGCTAGGCTCACCGCGTTTCACATAAAATTTTGCAAAAGATAAACACGACATTGAAAAAGTTACAAGAATTTAGTTATTTAAAAAAAGCTTTATGAAAATATTCACCTCGCCCACTCCAGAACTATTTACAGGGCCGTCCCCCCCCCCCCCCCCCCCCCAAAACACGACATTGAAAAAGTTACACGAACTTAGTTATTTAAAAAAAGCTTTATGAAAATATTCCCCTCGCCCACTCCAGAACTATTTACAGGGCCGTCCCCCCCCCCTCCCCTGATAACTACCCGTTACCTCCACTACGGGAGATCTTTTCAAATGTGGGTCAATGTCCCTTTAGGACAATGCCCTATCTGGGATTTTAAACGAAGCATATCTATTATTATTTTTTCCTTAATCATAATTCCCCCCCCCCCTCGCATTTCTATGTTTTGTTTCGTGTATTTTTTATCATTAAAATGAACGATTCAAAATTTCTTTAAGGAAACAGAAACATGATGATGTCATATTTTAGAAGTGTGTGCGTGTTGTTCGTCCGTCGAGGATCGACGAGGACCATCGAGTCGTCCGGTGACTAATGACTTGCGCGGGTGACTTTTGTTTAAAGTTAAAGTGAGGAAGAGTTGCGCGGCGTCAACCTCACTCTCTCGTCCTCACTATTTTAGAAGTAGGTTTGAATAGACCACTGGAGTTCAATTTTATCAAATTAAAAAAAAAATAAAACTCAACACATTTTCAGTGACGCACCCCCCTTTGAGACGCCCTCACCTTATTGTACACCCTCCCCTTAACCAAGTGAATACAAAAAAAAAACTTTATTTAATTTAAAAGTAGATTTATCTTTTAAAATAAAAATTTGGTGGTGCTTGTAATATATTTATTTTAGAACCATTGACCAACACTTCGCTGATAAATTTGTCAAGTTCCGTTCAGTCAACTCCGAGTCACCTTGTCCTCTAAGACTCTAAGGCACCAAGACCGGTATCACAAGACCGGTAACCGACAAGCGTGAATGGCTGAGAGGCTAGGGGTGACCTCCCTTTTGTTGACTATCGAGTGCTTATTTGATGTCGACAATCCCCCGCTGTTCTTTTTGGTCGCTCTATGCAGACTGAGTGGCACTTGTAACAGTGATGCCAGCTGTGAAAACTAATTGTGTTGGATATTCCGAACACAATGTGATTCTCTTTTTTTGGTAAATATATATCAGTGATTGTTTAAAAATGTGATTGTGTTCTCTTTGCAAAGTTATTATTGTGTACCATTTGCAGTTATAAGGATGACATGCTGATAACTTATTCATATATATATATATATATATATATATATATATATATATATATATATATATATATAAATTTATTTATTTTTGTGTCGGTTTGTGTGTTTGTTTTTAATATATTTTTTTTTTTAATATGAAATACTTATAGATTATTTATATATATATATATATATATATATATATATATATATATATATATATATATATATATATAAGTGAATATTTGTTTGAGGCTGGCTGGCTGGATTTGTTCCACATACGTTTTTTTACATGGATTGATGGATTTTGACCAAACTTGGCACATATATCCATCATGATCCAGAAAGAACTCTTAAGGGGTTATGGACTTTTTATAACATTCCGTTTGGGGCCGGGGGCCCCGAATTCGTTTTTTTTTTCCCTTAAATGAGCTATATAAATAAAATGGCTAAAAATACTCATACATGAATGGATGGATCTTGACCAAACTTATTACCCATACACATGATCATCCATATTCAAATACCAAAGGGTACTGAACTCATAATATCCATTTCTCTGTGGCTGGGGGCCCCGGTTCATTTTCCTTATATAAGCTATATGAATAGGGTTAGATAACGGTATAGGTTCTATGTGAATTTATGGATCTAAGCCTAGCTTTGTTCATTACGCTTTTTAATCCGCTTTGAAATATCGGTGGATTTAAAACTAAGAATATCCAATCTAGAATTTTCCAGAAAGTTCGATAATTTTAAAAAGCTATAACTATGGTATTTTTAAGCCGATTTTACTGGGACAAATTAAAAATTTTAACTCTATAATTTATCAGAATAATATTTATAGGACCCAAACCCTATCTCAGACATAAATTAAAAAGTACTTTATTAAATGGGCCCCCAACTGGGGCCCCCATTTCATTTTAAATGTACTGTAGTTATAGTAGTTCAATTAGTTGTATCATATTTCGCATTCGAGAAAAAATTACGTAGACAAGTAGTTTTGTACCTGTTTCATGGAGGATATTAATTTTAATCTAGAATGTTCCAGAAGGTGCTATATTTTTCTACGGGGATATATAATGGTATCTAAAAGCTTATTTGAAAAAAATCGGACTGAGCATCATCCCATAGAGGAACAGGATCCTAAAGGGGAACAATATCCAACAGTAAATTGGAACCTATCAGTTACGCGATCCCATCGGGTAACGCGATGAAACCTGGATCGATATCCTATCGGGGAAAGGGATAACATCAGAAAAGAGAGTCCCTAGATGAAACGGCATCCCACAGAGAACGGAATCCTAACAGGATCCACCGAGATTGGGATCCGACTGGGATTAATACACCGTTGGGATAGCGATCCCACCGGGATCTGGATTCCCCTGGATCGGACCACAAGAAATCGGGATCCACCGGGAATGGGATCACACCGGGAATGGGATCACACCGGGAATGGGATCACACCGGGAAACGGGATTGTGTCTGGATCGGGGTCAAAATGGGATTTTGGTCCCATTGGGATCGGGGTCCTTATGCAATCCCGTGCAAAGCCGGGTATATTAGCTAGTTTATTAGATAATAGATCAAGTAACCTAATTAAAAAACGGTTTTTATTCTTCCGTGTAGCGAAACCGAATTCGTGTGTGGGTAGGCGCGTTTGTTTGTATGTGTGTGTTTGTATGTGTGTCTTTGTAGGGGGCGTCCATTAATTACGTCAACAAAATAGAAGAGGGGGGGGGGTTGGACATGTTTGACAGTTGTTGACAAAGGGGAGGTGGGGAGTTTAGATTAGTTGACGTCACCAATCATGTTCTTTCTGTTTGAATTTTAATCTTAAAAATTGACCTGTACTTACATTATTTTAAACAATTTAATGAGTGTAAATAGTAATATATGTTTAGGCTTTTAACAATATAAGAGTTATTTTTAATGTGTGTCTGTCTGTGCACTGCAGATGGCTGGTCAGAACGTTAGCACGTGTTGTTAGTGCAAGAGAAGTCAAAAGTTGGCATCTCTTGACCTGTCATTTTTCTCTTTATCCGCTCCCTAGAATGATTAACACATGATTGTACACGGTGTTCAAATTAAAGAAAACACCAACTTATGGCTGTTCAATAACAACTATAACAATTCAAAGACAGAGAGAGCTTATGGCAATTATTGCTCACACCGACAATGCTTCTATTTTAAGCGCTGAATGGTTAGATAAGGACGATATTGACTTGTCTGGTGTATCAGTTCCGCGAGATGAAAATGATAAATCAACTACTATACGCTATGCCCATCAGGGGCGGCATTTCAGTTTTTTTTCAGAGGAAGGGACAGAGGGGGGCAAAACCAAAACCTGGTCGGCTTGTTAAGTTGTTTATTCCTGGAGGCGCAACAGAATATAGCAATTTAAATAAAACCAGCAAAATCAGGGGCGGGGGGGGGGGGGCACATGTTCCATGCCCTACACCAGTGGTTCTCAACCTTTCTAGTGCCGCGATCCTTTAATACAGCTTGTCGTGTCGTGGCGACCCCCAGCCACACAATTATTTTCGTTACTACTTCATAGAACTAAGGATATGTGTTTTCAGATGGTCTAAGGCGACTCCTGGAAAAGGGTCCCCAAAGGGGTCGCGACCCACAGGTTGAGAACCGCTGCCCTACACAAATGATGTCCTTGATGCCCACCGTTACGATACAGCAACACCTGGCTACTCCATGGGAAGATGACAGCAGCTAGAAACTGTGCTATAATTGTCAGCTATACAGGCAATAATAAATGTATACTTGCCCAAACAAGGATATTTAGTCCTTAAAAAGGTTGTTTCTGCATTATAAAATTTAAGGATAAAAACGTTTTAACTTTTTGATTGACTAACTAAACATGATTTCCATACATTTGTATTTTTCATTTCAACAGATCAGCACAAAGTAAAATTTATTCAAAATTTATTTATATTATAATTCATTTTTTTCTTGGGGACTGGGGTGTGTGGGTATAAAATGTTGACATAAATTAAATAGGAGGGTCATCGAAAGTTTGACAGTGTGCTAAAAAAAAAAGGGGGGGGGGGGAGGCGGGTTAAAAATTGCGTAAAATTTGTTGACGTCATTAATGGACGACCCCCCCCCCCCCCCCCAGGTCCCAGTATGGAAGTCAGTGGTTCTTAAAGTGGGGTGTACCGCCCCTTTGAGATGTACCAGTGGGCGGTAACAACGCTCAGCAGATTTAAGAGGGGGGGGGAGGGGGGTGTAGGGCGTTGGGACTAACAAATGGGGGATTAATCCAGAACACATTAAAAAAAAATTAAAATGACATAAAATATGAGGTAAAAATAGATTTAAATTTAATGGATAATTAACGGATTTGAAAAGGAGACATGAACAGACAAGAGTCATGAACAGACAAGCGTCATGAACAGACAAGAGTCATGAACAGACAAGAGTCATGAACAGACAAGAGACATGAACAGACAAGAGTCATAAGTAGACAAGAGTAATGACTTGACAAAAGTCATGAGTAGACAGTGTCATAAATAGATAAGAGTCATGAATAGACAAAAGTCATGAGTAGACAAGAATCATGACTAGACAAGTGCAATGATAGAAAAGAGTCCATAATAGACAAGAGTCATGAATGGACAAGAGTCATGAATACAAAAAAGAGTCATAAATTGACAAGAGTCATGACTAGACAAGAGTCATAAATAAACAAGTGCCATGAATAGCACGATTCCTGAGTAAACAAGAGTCATGAATAGACAAGAGTCATGACTTGACAAGAGTCATAAATATAGATAAGAGTTATGACTAGACAATAGTCATGAATAACACGAGTCATGACTAAATCGAGTCATGAATAGACAAGAGTCATGACTTGACAAGATTCATAAATAGACAAGAGTCATGACTAACACGAGTCATGAATTGACAAGAGTCAACAATGGACAAAAGTCAGGACTAGACAAGTGTCATTCATTGACAAGAGTCATAAGAAGACAACAGTCATGACTATATAAGAGTCATAAATAGACAAGAGTCATGACTAAATCGAGTCATGACTAGACAAGAGTCATGAATAGAAAAGAGTCATGAATTGACAAGAGTCATGAATTGACAAGAGTCACGAAAAGACAAGCGTAATGAATTAACAAGAGTCATGAGTAGACAAGAGTCATGAAAAGACAAGAGTCATAAATAGACAAGAGTCATGAAAAGACAACAGTCATGAAAAACACAGTCATAAATATATATCATTCAAAAAGACCAAGGTTCTATTAAAAACAAGAAATATTTTCTGAAAGTAAGACGTCATCAATACACTTTTAGAAAAGTCGTGAATGTATATGAAAGTAAAGCCGTCTACATATCTGTCTACATATTCAATGGAATTAGAAATAATCAATATAATCAATACGTTTATTGAAAGTTGTATGACATGATTCAATGGATTTGTAGCAATGACAGCTTTTCAAAGAGGACTATACGTTTTTTTTTAATTTATAGAGGACATTATTGTATGTCTTTGTTTTCATGAAATTTGATGTGTCCTAATTCAGAAGTTAGTGTTCTTGCGTCAGAAGTCAGTGTTCTTGCTTCAGAAATCAGTGGTCTTGCTTCAAAATTCAGTGATCTTGCTTCAGAAGTCAGTGGTCTTGATTCAGAAGTCAGTGGTCTTGCTTCAGAAGTCAGTGGTCTTGCTTCAGAAGTCAATGGTCTTGCTTCAGAAGTCAGTGGTCTTGCTTCAGAAGTCAGTGGTCTTGATTCAAAATTCAGTGATCTTGCTTCAGAAGTCAGTGGTCTTGATTCAGAAGTCAGTAATCTTGATTCAAAAAAGAGTAAACTTGATTAACAAATGAGTACATTTGATTCATAAGTCAGTGGTCTTGATTCAGAAGTCAGTGGTCTTGATTCAGAAGTCAGACAAACGTCATTTTATAAGTTGAATTAAGAGCGCATGGTGTGACAGTCAATGTTATGACTTAGACTTATTAGGATAGTAGGTCAGCAAGGTTTTCACAGTCACGCCACTTTTTCGGTAGCGCGTTCCATTTTGGCGTGTTGATAATCTTTGATAAAATAAGTAGGTCACTCATCCATTTGGAATCTTAAATAAGGTTTGTTTTACTCAGATTTGGTATTTTAGGGAAAATGATGTTTAACGTTTGTTTTGAAAATCTAACGTGTAATGTCCTTTTTAACATTATTTAAGTCTAACTTGTCATGTACTTTTTAACATTATGTAATACTAACTTGTGATGTACTTTTTAACATTATATAAGTCAAACTTGTGAGTTCTTTTTTATTTCTTTAAATAGATTGGATTTCAGTTTCAGTTATGTCTTATTCTGTTCTATTCTATTCTATTCTGTTCTATTCTATTCTGTCATATTCGATTATGTTCTGTCCTATTCTATTCTGTTCTGCTCTATTCTATTCTGTCCTATTCTATTCTGTTCTGTCCAATTCTGTTCTGTTCTATTCTATTCTGTCCTATTCTATTTTGTTCTGTCCAAATTCTGTTCTGTTCTATTCTATTCTGTCCTATTATATTCTATTCTGTTCTATTCTATTATGTCCTATTCTATTCTGTTCTGTCCAAATTCTGTTCTGTTCTATTCTATTCTGTCCTATTCTATTCTGTTCTGTCCAAATTCTGTTCTGTTCTATTCTATTCTGTCCTATTATATTCTATTCTGTTCTATTCTATTCTATTCTGTCCTATTCTATTCTGTTCTGTCCAAATTCTGTTCTGTTCTATTCTATTCTGTCCTATTCTATTCTATTCTGTTCTGTTCTATTCTATTCTGTCCTATTCTATTCTATTCTGTTCTGTTCTATTCTGCCCTTTGGTCATCTTTAAACACAAACCCCAACTCTCCAATGTGTTCAAGTTCAGTTTTCAAAAGAAACAGGTACTTTCCTTCATAGGCTTCACTACTGACAAATATGATTTTTCACTTCAGTGCTAACAAAAATGATCTTTGATTCCTTTGAACAGAAGTTTCAGCATCATTGAAACACAACATTACAAAATGATATGTAAAGTCAAGTATTTGTGTCTTAAAAGAAGAATTATTAAACTCTTTGCATCTGGGGCTGTGATCATTACTCTCATGGTTATCTACCAAAGCTATGCTACAACGGACCTACAATCTTACGTCGCATTTCTGGCTCCTAGTTCCGTTCTGGACACCTCCCAAGCGTGCATCCACCCAGCACTGAACATCAATGACCCGACCATGATGAGGTTCTACAGGAACAAGAAGAGAGTGATATGCAGGGGCGACACCGACTGGATCGAAGTGCACAATGGGACGCTCCTGTTCTCTCACCAGGCCGTGTCTGACCAAGTTGGATTTAAATGTCATTACTATCCGTTAATACGTGGCCCTGGTGACGACAACATCTCCTACGGAGAGCCCATCCTCAACGTGGAGCATGGCACGCCCCTGGTTTCAGATTTCTTCAAAATCAATTGTATTTCAAACGTCAAAGGCACCAGGTACACGAATATCCACGCAGGCGTCCATCACAACCGCACAATAAAAGGAAGGTTACAAAAAAGGAAGCCTCCAAAAGACGGCCTAGGTCTGTCCATAGCTTTCTTGGGCTTTGACTCCATGTCTAGAATGTCTTGGCTGCGACGCATGCCACTTACCAGAAAGTACATGGTGGAAACGCTGAAAGCCATTGAGCTGGAAAGTTACAACATTGTTGGGGACGGAACACCGGCGGCACTTTTCCCCATCCTAACCGGGAAACATGAAACGGAACTTCCCGATGCGAGGAGAAGCGCCAACCATTCGAAGTCCGTTGATCAGTTTCCTTGGCTGTGGAAAGACTTTCAGAAACACGGCTACGTCACTTCCTGGGCTGATGCAGAAGTTGAAATAGCGCCATTCAACTACCGCCTCAAAGGTTTCGAGCACGCACCGACGGACCACTTTATGAGACCCTTCTACCTGGCCGTTGACCCCACGTACCGAAGCTACTCACGATATTGCCACGGCTCTCTGCCCAAGCACGTCGTGTGGTTGAACTGGTTCCGTGACATCATGTACATGTACAAGCGTGATCCCAAGTTCATGGTACACTTCTACACGCCCCTCAGCCACGATGACAATAACCTCATAACAATGGTGAGTGTTTTTCTTAGAGCGTTTATCTGATCTTGCTGCGTTCTATCTTAGATCTTCAAATATTAATAAACTAGGGCTTAACGGGTTGAAATTTCTTTTACAACGGGTCAGGGTATGGTCTTTTGAGAAAATACCCGGTGGGTCCAAAGTCTAAGTGTAACCGGGGGGGGGGGAATCACGTTAACCTCTGATTTACTCTAATATATGCTGGCCTTAAAACAATGTGACTTCAGACTGTCGTCTGTTAAGTGTGCCGCAGCACACTGGTGTGAATAGAAATATAACTAAGTGTGGCGCGGTAAAATGCCTCCGACATAAGTCCTACTAAATAAGTCGAGCTCATAACACAAGTCCTACTAAATAAGTCGAGCTCATAACACAAGTCCTACTGAAAAAAAGAACAATGGGAAACATTCGCTTAACGTGTATGGTCAACACTCTTTTACTGAAAATGCATCGTGTGAAAGAAAATATAGGAAGTTTGAAAGGATGTTTCTTCTAATTGGGTTCCACTCATAGATGAGGTGTTTTAATTGAAGAAACTGGAATGTCAGTGAGAGGAATATCAACAACACACGTGTTGGCGTGATCACCGTGCTGCAGTTAAACAAGTTGAACACACTGAAGATGAATGTGTATCACCGATTGGAGCTAGATGTGACCATAGTGAACATTTCGACACACGAGGTAAAGCTAGATGTGACCATAGGGAACATTTCAGCACACGAGGTAAAGCTAGATGTGACCATAGTGAACATTTCGACACACGGGGTAAAGCTAGATGTGACTATAGGGAACATTTCAACACACGAGGTAAAGCTAGATGTGACCATAGTGAACATTTCGACACACGAGGTAAAGCTAGATGTGACCATAGTGAACATTTCGACACACGAGGTAAAGCTAGATGTGACCATAGGGAACATTTTGACACACGAGGTAAAGCTAGATGTGACCATAGTGAACATTTCGACACACGAGGTAAAGCTAGATGTGACCATAGGGAACATTTTGACACACGAGGTACAGCACAATGTATATTGCCCGCTGTGTTTAATTTCACATCTCCCTGGTACCTTTCAAACGTTTACAGAGTAAGGGCCTTAACTCTCGACAAAGGCAGGACCAAGAGAAGCGATAAGGCCTTTTCTGTACAACGATCACCGTCAAATATGGCTAACCATGCGATCAATTTTAAAAATCAGACCTTTGTGGAATTTCAGTAGAGAGGAGACTAAGGTTCTCTTGTGAGCGGCTGGTCAAGAGTTTCGTGCTCAGAACCGCTGCTACAGATTGTTTGTCAGGTTCAAGAAGAAAATGGAAGAGCAGCAATCAAGAGGCTCGGGACTCATTTTGCAAGAAGAAAAAACATGTGGGTGATGCTTGAGTGACTTGATCGTTTTCATTCTGAACTCCAGAATCAAGAGCCATCAAGAAAGTGGCAGATATGTTTGAGGCCGTTCACGATAAGAATAGACTAATTGTAAATGGAAAAGAGTTATCAGTGTCCATTCCCAAACTGACCAATCTTTATTATGAGTTTTGTAAAAAAAAGTGACGTTTGGGTGGAAACACCAAAGTCTGCGAAGGCACCTGAGAGTGTCAGCTGATTGGTCAATATTTGAAGCTTTGAAAGTCATCGCTCCAACGAGACTTGTCAGAATCACTCCTGTCATTAAGCCTATAATCAGTAGTAAATGACATTCTTATCTGATGGAAATGGTCGTAACTGTTCACCTGATTTTATGCCAACCTTGGCAAGTGTGGCTTTTATTTCGTCAATTACAACACACCCAGGGAAAAATGATATATTGAAAAGTATCTTAGAGTTTGAGATTAATATAATTATCTAGAGCTGAATGTCACTAAATCCTCTTGAACACGTCGTTTCTTGGGCATTCATTGTTGAAAATAGGTCTCTCAACGGAGGAAAACGTATTAATAATTTTCAAAAGAGGGAATGGCGTAGATAACCATTCATGTTTGTGACATTAGCAACAACAGCTGCCTGTCAAATCATCAATGTCGCGGCGAAATCAACAATGCAGACCCCAACTTGCGTCTCGTTCCCGGGGCAGTGCGAAACGGGAAAATGGTGACGCAATGACATACTATCTTTTTATGGAGATGCAGTGACATGCTATCTTTTTATGGTGATGCAATGACATGCTATCTTTTTATGGTGACGCAATGACATGCTATCTTTTTATGGTGATGCAGTGACATGCTATCTTTTTATGGTGATGTAATGTCATGCTATCTTTTTATGGTGATGCAGTGACATGCTATCTTTTTATGGTGATGCAGTGACATGCTATCTTTTTATGGTGATGCAATGACATGTTATCTTTTTATGGTGATGCAATGACATGTTATCTTTTTATGGTGATGCAGTGACATGCTATCTTTTTATGGTGATGCAGTGACATGCTATCTTTTTATGGTGATGCAATAACATGCTATCTTTTTATGGTGATGCAATGACATGCTATCTTTTTATGGTGATGCAATGACATGCTATCTTTTTATGGTGACGCAGTGACATGCTATCTTTTTATGGTGATGCAATGACATGCTATCTTTTTATGGTGATGCAATGACATGCTATCTTTTTATGGTGACGCAATGACATGCTATCTTTTTATGGTGACGCAATGACATGCTATCTTTTTATGGTGATGCAATTACATGCTATCTTTTTATGGTGATGCAGTGACATGCTATCTTTTTATGGTGATGCAATGACATGCTATCTTTTTATGGTGACGCAATGACATGCTATCTTTTTATGGTGATGCAGTGACATGCTATCTTTTTATGGTGATGTAATGTCATGCTATCTTTTTATGGTGATGCAGTGACATGCTATCTTTTTATGGTGATGCAGTGACATGCTATCTTTTTATGGTGATGCAATGACATGTTATCTTTTTATGGTGACGCAGTGACATGCTATATTTTTATGGTGATGCAGTGACATGCTATCTTTTTATGGTGATGCAGTGACATGCTATCTTTTTATGGTGATGCAGTGACATGCTATCTTTTTATGGTGATGCAATGACATGTTATCTTTTTATGGTGACGCAGTGACATGCTATCTTTTTATGGTGATGCAGTGACATGCTATCTTTTTATGGTGATGCAGTGACATGCTATCTTTTTATGGTGATGCAGTGACATGCTATCTTTTTATGGTGATGCAATGACATGCTATCTTTTTATGGTGATGTAATGGCATGCTATCTTTTTATGGTGATGCAGTGACATGCTATCTTTTTATGGTGATGTAATGGCATGCTATCTTTTTATGGTGATGCAGTGACATGCTATCTTTTTATGGTGATGCAGTGACATGCTATCTTTTTATGGTGATGCAGTGACATGCTATCTTTTTATGGTGATGCAATGACATGCTATCTTTTTATGGTGATGTAATGGCATGCTATCTTTTTATGGTGATGCAGTGACATGCTATCTTTTTATGGTGATGTAATGGCATGCTATCTTTTTATGGTGATGCAGTGACATGCTATCTTTTTATGGTGATGCAGTGACATGCTATCTTTTTATGGTGATGCAGTGACATGCTATCTTTTTATGGTGATGCAATGACATGCTATCTTTTTATGGTGATGTAATGGCATGCTATCTTTTTATGGTGATGTAATGGCATGCTATCTTTTTATGGTGATGTAATGGAATGCTATCTTTTTATGGTGATGCAGTGACATGCTATCTTTTTATGGTGATGCAGTGACATGCTATCTTTTTATGGTGATGTAATGGCATGCTATCTTTTTATGGTGATGTAATGACATGTTATCTTTTTATGGTGACGCAGTGACATGCTATCTTTTTATGGTGACGCAGTGACATGACATGTTTTTTATGGTGACGCAGTGACATGCTATCTTTTTATGGTGATGCAGTGACATGCTATCTTTTTATGGTGATGCAGTGACATGCTATCTTTTTATGGTGATGCAATGACATGCTATCTTTTTATGGTGATGCAATGACATGCTATCTTTTTATGGTGATGCAATGACATGCTATCTTTTTATGGTGACGCAGTGACGTGCTATCTTTTTATTATGACGCAATGTCATGCTTTCAGTTTTTGGACTGATTTGACAAAAGTAGTGATGTGGTTTAAAGAAAAAATTTTCCCAATAAAAATTATAAAACAGAATTACCACTTGGTAACAACCAAAACTTAAGGATTCTTCAGAATTACAGAGATGGCCATGTTGTTGCCAGTGTTACAATTACAGAGATGGACGTACAGTGGCCAGTGTTACAATTACAGAGATGGTCGTACAGTGACCAGTGTTACAATTACAGAGATAGCCATACAGTGGCCATTGTTACAACTACAGAGATGGACCTACAGTGGCCATCGTTACAATTACAGAGATGGACGTACAGTGGAAATCGTTACAATTACAGAGATGGCCCTACTGTGGCCAGTGTTACAATTACAGAGATGGCCCCACAGTAGCCAGTGTTACAAATTCAGAGATGGCCCTACAGTGGCCAGTGTTGTAATTACAGAGATGGCCATACAGTGGCCAGTGTTACAATTATATACATGGACGTACAGTGGAAATCGTTACAATTACAGAGATGGACCTACAGTGACCAGTGTTACAATTACAGAGATGGACCTACAGTGACCAGTGTTACAATTACAGTCATGGAACTACAGTGGTCACTGTTACAATTACAGAGAGTTACATACAGAATCACCACAGACAGCGAAGAAACGACGAATTATGTTTTAGAATCATAAGAAATTGCCTGAAGTCCACAGTTAGATGAATTATGGATTTGACTAAAATGAAGATATTGATTTATCGTTATCTTAATTAAACTGAATAAATTGATGAATGGTTAATATTTTTTGATTTGCTGCTATCTTATTAAATTAGGACATTTTGATGGAGTGCACTATATTCACGTCATGGAGTCATGTTTAAATGCATGGACACATTTCATCGATTTTTTAAATAAATAATATTTTACATTTGTTATATCAAATATCGCTTATGTTAGTTTATTTGTAAGTTTTAATAAATATTTATTTTATAATGTAATTCTTAAACCAAAGCATGGTTAACTATTTTTTATATTTTTTTACCAGGCTGACGAAGATCTCCAGAAGATGCTTGAGCACTTAGAAAACGATGGCTGTTTCAACAGTACATTACTGGTTATTATGGCTGATCACGGGGCCAGATTTGCTGACGTCAGAAGAACTTTGTCCGGAAAACTGGAGGAGCGGATGCCGTATGTTAGTTTCCGGTTCCCGCCATGGTTTGAGGATCAATACCCAGACATCGTGCAGAACGTGAGAACCAATGCGCACAGACTCACAACCCCGTTTGACATACACGAGACATTTAAAGAGGTTCTCAGATTTACAGGGGGCGGTGTGGGTAACGTTAAAAACCGTGGGATAAGTCTGTTTAAGGAGATTCCCAAATCTCGCACGTGTGCGCACGGTGACGTTGCACCACATTGGTGCGCATGTCTCTCATGGCATGAGGTCAACCCTAACAGTGACATCGGGAAGAGGGTTCTCCAAGCGGCCATAGACAACATCAACAGTTTTACAGCGCCGTATCGATCGGACTGTGTGGAACTGACCATTGGTAAAGTCACCGCGGTCAGTAAACACATGCTGAGGGAAGAGGTGCTGAGATTTTCAGAGACGACCGGAGACAGGGGGGACAAACCCGTCTTGTCCGACGCGTATGTACCCCTCAACAAAGCAATCTACCAGGTGACATTCTTCACAGAACCAGGTCATGGGGAGTTCGAGATCACTCTTGAGCACCTGGTGAACGTGGACCAGATAACCTTGAACCCCAAGGCCATCAGTCGCATCAACAAGTACGGCACCGATCCTGCGTGCATACTGGACAAGAACCGTGAGATCAGACAGTTTTGTTACTGTAACAATCAGAGCCTAGCCAAGAGTCGGTAACAATGGTTACATAGGATTACAAACGTTACAGTTGACTCTGTTGGTGTGATTGTTTACTCTATTGGTTTGATTGTTTACTCTGTTGGTTTGATTGTTTACTCTGTTGGTTTGATTGTTTACTCTGTTGGTTTGATTGTTTACTCTGTTGGTTTGATTGTTTACTCTATTGGTTTGATTGTTTACTCTATTGGTTTGATTGTTTACTCTGTTGGTTTGATTGTTTACTCTATTGGTTTGATTGTTTACTCTATTGGTTTGATTGTTTACTCTATTGGTTTGATTGTTTACTCTATTGGTTTGATTGTTTACTCTATTGGTTTGATTGTTTACTCTGTTGGTTTGATTGTTTACTCTATTGGTTTGATTGTTTACTCTGTTGGTTTGATTGTTTACTCTATTGGTTTGATTGTTTACTCTGTTGGTTTGATTGTTTACTCTATTGGTTTGATTGTTTACTCTATTTGTTTGATTGTTGAATCTGTTGGTTTGATTGTTGGTTACCGGAAATTTGATGGAAAGAAACTTCGTCGATGGAAATTTGATCGAACGGAAATGTGGTCGAATCCTTTTTTTTCAGTCCACACGATAAGGTGTCGACAAATTTATTTTTGAACGCACTATGCTATAAGCAAAACAAAATAATGTCTATAAAATGATTCAACCAAATTTCCGTACGATTAATTTTCCGTCGACGAAATTTCTTTCGATCACATTTCCGGATAAGGTGATTGTTGACGCTGTTGATGTGATTGCTAACTCTGTTGGTGTGATTTTTAACTCTGTTGGTGTGATTGCTGACTCTGGTTGTTGGTGTGATTTTTTTTACTCGGTTGGTGTGATTGCTGACGCTGTTAGTGTGGTTATTCTAAGGATTTAATGAACATTTTAAAAAAATGTGATATAAGTAGGAATAACGTATTTTTAATCTTTGCCATTAGAGTGGGGGGGGGGGGGTTTTCAACTGAACCTATTAAACGACTGTTCCTTATGTTAGTGTGATTATGTCAGCTACTTTATACAAGTAGGCATCATTTGTTTTCAAACTTGTGTAGAGTATGGGAATTGATTTATAATTGTTGCGCACCGAATATTGTGTTGTCGCGTGCTCGTTGTATTTGACAGTTGGTTAATTAAAGAACGCATTTCCCACCTTTAATGTGGTGACGTATACTTGTTGCAATTATAACTTATTGTCTAGAGCCTAGACCAGTGTTTCCCAACCTCTTTTGTGCGATCCCCCACCTAAGCCTTTCTAGAATTCATTTGCCCCTTATTTAATTAATATGTACATAATTTTTAATATTAAAAAATTGAATTGTTCAACGAATGAAAACTAAGTGATAGGTTTTGGAGGGATGAAATGCGCTTTACGAATAAATTTTTAAGGAAGCACAGAAGGTAAATTTTCAAAACATATAATTTTAAAATACAATGAGAGATCACGAAAACAATGAGATCACAAATACAGTTGTAGATGACTAAGTTAGTGCGAAACTTGCACTTGATGGTTGCTTCACAGAGATTTTTATGTTAGGCTCCAATTTAGACAGCTTCAGTAAGTCTCCCAGCTAGGGGGGGGGGGAGTACGTCTCCCGCTATGTTATATCCAGCCGATCTATTATTTTTTTTTACATCAGCAAATCATGTGTGGCATTAAATCCATATTCAGCTAAATATGAAAATGGATACGGTAAAAACAGCTGCCTTGCCACATGTGCTAGAATTGGGAGATTTGATTTCTGTTACCTCAAGAAGCCATGCCATCGATCCTTTTATGTTACATACAATTTTATCAGACTCGTCATTGTGCAGCTCTGCGAGTTCTTCTTGATACTGTATATTTGAAATATCAGACAAATCCACTATCATTGGCTGCTTCATCCAAACTGGAAAATCAATTTGTTTTAAATCACAAAGTGGAATAATTTAATAAATGAAGTGAAACCATTGCATCGACAAGAGTTTTATTTTTTTTGAAGTTGGTTAATTAATTTTTTTTTCTAAGATCTCAGCTAAATAACTCACAAATGCCTTACCATCAACTATTAACGGGTACGTGATTTCAGGTTTCTCACTTAAAAATTCACCAAGAGTATCAAATAGTTCCATAAATCTTTTTAAGTAGTTCCTTTTCGAGAGCCACCTTACTTCAGTCACACTTCAGTGGGAAGTAAAAGTCTCACTTGTTCTGAATTTTATCCCTCCCAAAATTGCTTGAAAAAAAAGTTCACATTTGGCATAAGCTTTAATAGCATTAATACACGTTAGAACTGAATTTAGTAATTCATTAAGAATAGGCGAGCGATTTTCATCTACCGAGTTTCCAAAATTTGTCTTGAAAGTTTGAAAGTAATTTAAATCTGACTTAATCTGAGCACTATGTTGCCTCAAGACGACCCCGTTTCATAGATTCGTTGGACAAGCATTGTGGGCATAAAAGACACAAAGGTGACAGTTCATCATGGACAATGGGTATGAATCCACAATTTAAATATTTCACCGAATACTGACGAATATTTTTCCTTCATGCTTGCACGACTCATTTTATTGTGAAGCTGAAAGAAAATCAGAAAAAAAAAAAAAAAAAAAAAAAAAAAAAAAAAAAAAAAAAAAAAAAAACAAACAATTTAAAAAAGGAATACTTACCACTAAATAAATATTTATACATACTTGTATTTGGTACTACTAAATATTTATACAAGCTAATTTTTACAGAAAACGTACCCGTTCTAATTGCAATTTTTTACCAACTGAGACTGTTGGGGGGGGGGGGTCGTCCATTCATTACGTCAACACTTTTTAAGCAATTTTTACCCCTTTTGTCAACAACATTCAAATTTTCAATTTACTCCCCCCCCCCCCAATTTAATTATGTTAACATTTTATACCCCCCTCCCCCACCAAAAAAAACCGAAATTTATAAATGCATTTTACTTTGTGTTGATCTATTTTAATGACAATAAAACTGTTGGAAAAACATTTCATTAAATCTTTAGCCTGCTAATCAACAAGTTAAACAATTTTTACACTTAAAGTTTATAATGCAGAATCAATTGAAAGGTTGTTAGAGACTAAATATCATGGTTTGTGGTATAAATATGATTATTGTCAGTAAAGCTGACAATTATAGTCTAGTATAGTTTCTAGCTGCTATCATCTTCCCAAGAAGTAGCCAGGTTTGCTCTATCGTAACAATGGACACCAGGGACATGTTTTAGGCAGGGCAGGGGACATTTACTCCGACCCCCTTAATTTGCGGGTTTTATTTAAATAGCTTTGTAATGTGGCGCCTCCAGTAATAAACAACTAACAAGCCGACCAAGTTTTGGCCCCCCCCCCCCCCACTTTCCCCTGAAAAACCTGAAATCACGCCCCTGATGAGCGTAGTGTATAGTTGTTGATTTATCATTTTCATCTTGTGGAACTGATACACCAGAAAAGTCAACATCATCCTCATCTAACCATTCAGCACTTCAAATAGAAGCATTGTCGGTGTGAGCAATAATTGCCATAAGCTCTATCTATCTCCTTGCAGCTACTCAAATCGGTCGAATCCTTTTTTTGTTGAAAAGCAAGTGCTATTTTTTATGCTAAAGTGGGCATTGTCGATTCTGTTGAACATGCTTTTTCAACATGACTTGTGATGCAAAATAGATGTTACAGATTTTGCAAATTCGTTCAAGCAGCGATGTTATTATTGTTACTAACTTTACATTCACCCAATTCTGAAAATATCGTATTCCTACTCTATCAATATCATTTATCTTGATTGCACATGGCACTTGAACCTTGTCCTTGTTCCATACCTGCAACAGAATCTACAGGGTGAAGAGAGGTCAAATTTTGACTTCTCTTGCGCTAACAAAGTGTGATAACATTCTGACGAGCCATCTGCAGTGCACAGACACACATTAAATAAATCTTATTTTGTTGAAAGCCTACGAATTATACTAATATTTACACTCATTTACATTTATAAATTTTTAAAAATAATATAATAACCATTGAAGTTTTAAGAGAGAATACAAGATTGTTGACGTCAACTCATCTAAAGCCCCCTCCCTCCCCCTTTTCAATAAATGTCAAACATTTCAAAACCCCCTCCCCCCTATTTTTTAACTTAATTAATGGACGCCCCCTGCCCCCCACCCATCGCTACGCCTCTGCCCCCCACCCATCGCTACGCCTCTGAAATAAATGTCAAACATCTCAACACCCCCTCCCCCCTATCTTCTAACTTAATTAATGCACGCCCCCTGCCCCCCACCCATCGCTACGCCTCTGCCCCCCACCCATCGCTACGCCTCTGCCCCCCACCCATCGCTACGCCTCTGCCCCCCACCCATCGCTACGCCTCTGCCCCCTTGGTTATTTTTAAAACCAACGGATTTTTACACATTTAACGAATGCTTATTTTAAATTAAGACTTTAAGGATTCTCCTTTTCAAATACAAGTTAAATCATATTACACCGCGGTTGGTTTTCAAATTGTAGACAGCTCATTTTCGAGCCACCTCCCTTTTTAACAATAAAGTTGCCCCTAGACTGTCTTTGGCGTACGTGCATATTCGTCAGCATAGTCGTCAGCATATTCGTCAGCAGTTGTTGAAAGAGCCTTGTTGTGGATGGTTGTGTGTTATTTTCTCTTCTTATATTGAGCTGCAGCTATCCATCTGCTTGATTCAGTGTACAGCCTGATCAATGTGCTTATGGATTAAAGTTGACATTACCTCATGGAAAAAACAACAACTTGTGTTCAATATGGTTGTGACTACGACATGTGGATGGTTTGAAGAATTTGATGAAAGAAATCTACCAACTTCGGATTTTTACACTATGACATTTAGTACGGCCTTCAGTTGAATTTAAATAACCTTTACTGTTGACCTTGTCGGTGTGATAATGTGAGACAAGTAGGAATAAAATATTCTCAAGCTTGGCTTGCAGTAGGGCTGCTAACTGAATCTACTAGACCTCCAAGGCAACTATTCTCAAGCTTGGCTTGCAGTAGGGCTGCTAACTAAATCTACTAGACCTCCAAGGCAACTATTCTCAAGCTTGGCTTGCAGTAGGGCTGCTAACTGAATCTACTAGACCTCCAAGGCAACTATTCTCAAGCTTGGCTTGCAGTAGGGCTGCTAACTGAATCTACTAGACCTCCAAGGCAACTATTCTCAAGCTTGGCTTGCAGTAGGGCTGCTAACTGAATCTACTAGACCTCCAAGGCAACTATTCTCAAGCTTGGCTTGCAGTAGGGCTGCTAACTGAATCTACTAGACCTCCAAGGCAACTATTCTCAAGCTTGGCTTGCAGTAGGGCTGCTAACTGAATCTACTAGACCTCCAAGGCAACTATTCTCAAGCTTGGCTTGCAGTAGGGCTGCTAACTGAATCTACTAGACCTCCAAGGCAACTATTCTCAAGCTTGGCTTGCAGTAGGGCTGCTAACTGAATCTACTAGACCTCCAAGGCAACTATTCTCAAGCTTGGCTTGCAGTAGGGCTGCTAACTGAATCTACTAGACCTCCAAGGCAACTATTCTCAAGCTTGGCTTGCAGTAGGGCTGCTAACTGAATCTACTAGACCTCCAAGGCAACTATTCTCAAGCTTGGCTTGCAGTAGGGCTGCTAACTGAATCTACTAGACCTCCAAGGCAACTATTCTCAAGCTTGGCTTGCAGTAGGGCTGCTAACTGAATCTACTAGACCTCCAAGGCAACTATTCTCAAGCTTGGCTTGCAGTAGGGCTGCTAACTGAATCTACTAGACCTCCAAGGCAACTATTCTCAAGCTTGGCTTGCAGTAGGGCTGCTAACTGAATCTACTAGACCTCCAAGGCAACTATTCTCAAGCTTGGCTTGCAGTAGGGCTGCTAACTGAATCTACTAGACCTCCAAGGCAACTATTCTCAAGCTTGGCTTGCAGTAGGGCTGCTAACTGAATCTACTAGACCTCCAAGGCAACTATTCTCAAGCTTGGCTTGCAGTAGGGCTGCTAACTGAATCTACTAGACCTCCAAGGCAACTATTCTCAAGCTTGGCTTGCAGTAGGGCTGCTAACTGAATCTACTAGACCTCCAAGGCAACTATTCTCAAGCTTGGCTTGCAGTAGGGCTGCTAACTGAATCTACTAGACCTCCAAGGCAACTATTCTCAAGCTTGGCTTGCAGTAGGGCTGCTAACTGAATCTACTAGACCTCCAAGGCAACTATTCTCAAGCTTGGCTTGCAGTAGGGCTGCTAACTGAATCTACTAGACCTCCAAGGCAACTATTCTCAAGCTTGGCTTGCAGTAGGGCTGCTAACTGAATCTACTAGACCTCCAAGGCAACTATTCTCAAGCTTGGCTTGCAGTAGGGCTGCTAACTGAATCTACTAGACCTCCAAGGCAACTATTCTCAAGCTTGGCTTGCAGTAGGGCTGCTAACTGAATCTACTAGACCTCCAAGGCAACTATTCTCAAGCTTGGCTTGCAGTAGGGCTGCTAACTGAATCTACTAGACCTCCAAGGCAACTATTCTCAAGCTTGGCTTGCAGTAGGGCTGCTAACTGAATCTACTAGACCTCCAAGGCAACTATTCTCAAGCTTGGCTTGCAGTAGGGCTGCTAACTGAATCTACTAGACCTCCAAGGCAACTATTCTCAAGCTTGGCTTGCAGTAGGGCTGCTAACTGAATCTACTAGACCTCCAAGGCAACTATTCTCAAGCNACCCCATACTTCCATTTCAGCAACCCCAAAACATGCTGTCAACGTCCTCCCCCTCCCCCCCCCCACACCCCATACTTCCATCTCACCAGCCGTATCAAGATCACATGACCTCGACAAGCATGAATGACTGGAACTAAAGTGCAGGCTTGTGGTGACCTTTCCTTCTATCACTATCAAGCTACTCGTATTGCTGGGGCCCTACGCATTAGTTCAGCTGTTACACCTAAAATTCGACTTTTATCTAAGGCAGTTTTCATTGGGGAATGTGAACACCTGACTCATGCTGTTGGTCAAATATTTGTTATAACTCTGTGATAATTCTGTGATGGCTCAGTTAGGATCAGCAGACTAAACATTAGACAACTGTATTTTCTTTACATTTATGTTTTCTTTTAAATTGTGATCAAGCCTCAAATATTTGGAGCACGTTCAAGTAAGGAAATTAATTTCAGAGTTAAATTATTTATTTTGCAATACCAATGTTTCATTCTACAATAACGACATCAAAGATGCGTGTATGTGTGTGTGCGTGGGAGAAAAATAAACAAGTTCATTATTTTGAAAGCATCATTTCCACTGCTCCTAGTATGTGAATGTTAAGAATGTGTTTATTGATATGTTTGTTATAATCTCTAACCGACATGACATCATGGTAAATACATGTTTAATTAAAGCTCATCACACCAAGCAATTTGAGAACCCTTCTCACTGGCTCTCACACCGGCAGCTTACATTTATTGGGAATTGATCCGAGACTTAGAGTGTGTCCTACTGAACCGCTGTACAAAAAAGCTCTTGAATGGGACCAACGAGTACTGTAAGACAGAATAGGACCAAACTGTACTGTACGTCAGAATAGGACCAAACTGTACTGTACGTCAGAATAGGACCAAACTGTACTGTACGTCAGAATAGGACCAAACTCTAGTGTACGACAGAATGGAATAATACTTTACTTGTACTAGACAGCATTCGACCTAGCTGTTATTTTGTAGGGCATATGTAGGACACATGTGTACTGCCTTTCATGAGGCCATTGCCTCTACTTGGCAATAATTGGTTACGGCACATGGGTTGGTCCTTGGCACGTCTGTTGATGTTATGTTCACCTGACATATGGATCACGTCGCCATGTGCCGGCGACAGGTTGCAGTAATGCAGAAAAACCAAGTGGTAAATTTTCACCGAGACGTGACTTCCCTTTAACTCTTGTTTCTGGCCAGCTGTGATGGAGTTAGTGAGCAACCCATTCACTTGGAAAATCGAATACATATTAATTTGTGGTATTAGTAGGGTAATTTGGGTAAGGATTGCTGCGAAATTCTAACAATAGTTATAATTCTAGTTTCAGTTCTGTGCTGTTCGTGGCGTTGTCAGGGCTGGCATCAGGGTTGTCGCTCCATAACCTTTCAATGTGTAACATTTATGTTTTTGAGTAAACCATCCCTTTCAACCACAGGATACATGACGTTGAATGTTCACAAAAGTTTCAACCACAGGATACATCACGTTGAATGTTTACAAAAGAGATGTGTCTCCTTTGAGTCTAGATTTGCAGCCCCATTTAAGCACAACTTGCCAAAATGGTTTACAGAGTCAAATTGTTGAGCTTGAGAGGAGACCTCATCATTAGAATCTTTGCCTTTGGCACTCTTGTCAGTACCTTTATGGTCATCTACCAGAACCAAAGCATGACCCATGACCAAGGTGCAACCAACATAAATTCGCATGTTCAAGTTTTTGTAGATATGCCCCAAATCTACGAGTCCAGTTTTGTCCCGGACACCTCCCAAGCGTGCATCCACCCAGCACTGAACATCAATGACCCGACCATGATGAGGTTCTACAGAAAGAGGAGCAGAGTAATTTGCAGGGGCGACACCGACTGGATCGAAGTGCACAATGGGACGCTCCTGTTCTCTCACCAGGCCGTGTCTGACCAAGTTGGATTTAAATGTGATTACTATCCGTTAATACGTGGCCCTGGTGACGACAACATCACCTACGGAGAGCCCATCCTCAACGTGGAGCATGGCACGCCCCTGGTTTCAGATTTCTTCAAAATCAATTGTAGTTCAAACGTCAAAGGCACCAGGTACACGAATATCCACGCAGGCGTCCATCACAACCGCACAATAAAAGGAAGGTTACAAAAAAGGAAGCCTCCAAAAGACGGCCTAGGTCTGTCCATAGCTTTCTTGGGCTTTGACTCCATGTCTAGAATGTCTTGGCTGCGACGCATGCCACTTACCAGAAAGTACATGGTGGAAACGCTGAAAGCCATTGAGCTGGAAAGTTACAACATTGTTGGGGACGGAACACCGGCGGCACTCCTTCCCATCCTAACCGGGAAACACGAAACGGAACTTCCCGAAGCGAGGAGAAGCGCCAACCATTCGAAGTCCGTTGATCAGTTTCCTTGGCTGTGGAAAGACTTCCAGAATCACGGCTACGTCACTTCCTGGGCTGATGCAGAAGTTGAAATAGCGCCATTCAACTACCGCCTCAAAGGTTTCGAGCACGCACCGACGGACTACTTCATGAGACCCTTCTACCTGGCCGTTGACCCCACGTACCGAAGCTACTCACGATATTGCCACGGCTCTCTGCCCAAGCACGTCGTGTGGTTGAACTGGTTCCGTGACATCATGTACACGTACAAACGTGATCCAAAGTTCATGGTACACTTCTACACGCCCCTCAGCCACGATGACAATAACCTCATAACAATGGTGAGTGTTTTGCTTAGAACGTTTGGGGTAATAAGGGGAGAGACTGCAATCAGGTTTTGTACAAAATGAAATGAGTAAAACAGAGTAGGGTTAAACCTGAAAAAAATAAACGTAACAAAACAGCGAACGTTTCGGCAGAAAGCCTTCGTCAGCGAACAAAACAACAGAAAAAACGGTATAATAATAAAAATAAGAAACAGCACTTAGCTGGTAAGTAGTATCTGTAGGCAGCAATAGAAATGTGGACACTACTCTGTTTTACTCATTTTATCTTAGAACGTTGATCAGATATTTTACATTACTATGTTATAACTTAGATCTTGAAATATTCATACATTCCAATGCCTCTCGGGATTATAAAAAGCATGACTCCATTTTATCTGTAGATACTTATCCCGTCACTTGCTAACTGACACTAATACTTATCCGATCACTAGCTATCTCTCTGATACTAATACTTATTCAGTCACTAGCTATCTCTCTGATACTAATACTTATCGGGTCACTAGCTATCTCTCTGATACTAATACTTATCGGGTCACTAGCTAACTCTCTGACACTAATACTTATCTGGTCACTAGCTATCTCTCTTACATTAATACTTATCTGGTCACTAGCTATCTCTCTTACATTAATACTTATCTGGTCACTAGCTATCTCTCTGACATTAATACTTATCCGGTCTAGCTATCTCTCTGACACTAATACTTATCCGGCCACTAGCTATCTCTCTGACATTGATACTTATCCGGTCACTATCTTCCTCTCTGACACTGATACTTATCCGGTCACTAGCTATCTCACTAAAATTGACATTTATCCGGTCACTAGCTTCCTCTCTGACACTGATACTTATCCGGCCACTAGCTATCTCTCTGACATTAATACTTATCCAGTCACTTGCTATCTCTCTGAAATCGACACGTCTATTCAATAACCCCTTCTCTGGCATTGGCACGTCCATTCAATAACCCCTTCTCTGACATTGAGACGTCCATTCAATAACCCCTTCTCTGACATTGAGACGTCCATTCAATAACCCCTTCTCTGACATTGACACGTCCATTTAATAACCCTTTCTCTGACATTGACACGTCCATTTAATAACCCCTTCTCTGACATTGACACGTCCATTCAATAACCCCTTCTCTGACATTGACACGTCCATTTAATAACCCTTTCTCTGACATTGACACGTCCATTCAATAACCCCTTCTCTGACATTGACACGTCCATTCAATAACCCCTTCTCTGACATTGACACGTCGATTCAATAACCCCTTCTCTGACATTGACACGTCCATTTAATAACCCTTTCTCTGACATTGACACGTCCATTTAATAACCCTTTCTCTGACATTGACACGTCCATTCAATAACCCCTTCTCTGACATTGACACGTCGATTCAATAATCCCTTCTCTGACATTGACACGTCCATTTAATAACCCTTTCTCTGACATTGACACGTCCATTTAATAACCCTTTCTCTGACATTGACACGTCCATTCAATAACCCCTTCTCTGACATTGACACGTCCATTTAATAACCCTTTCTCTGACATTGACACGTCCATTCAATAACCCCTTCTCTGACATTGACACGTCCATTCAATAACCCCTTCTCTGACATTGACACGTCCATTCAATAACCCCTTCTCTGACATTGACACGTCCATTCAATAACCCCTTCTCTGACATTGACACGTCCATTCAATAACCCCTTCTCTGACATTGACACGTCCATTCAATAACCCCTTCTCTGACATTGACACGTCCATTCAATAACCCTTTCTCTGACATTGACACGTCCATTCAATAACCCCTTCTCTGACATTGACACGTCCATTTAATAACCCTTTCTCTGACATTGACACGTCCATTCAATAACCCTTTCTCTGACATTGACAAGTCCATTCAATAACCCCTTCTCTGAAATTGACAAGTCCATTTAATAACCCTTTCTCTGACATTGACACGTCCATTTAATAACCCTTTCTCTGACATTGACACGTCCATTCAATAACCCTTTCTCTGACATTGACACGTCCATTCAATAACCCTTTCTCTGACATTGACAAGTCCATTCAATAACCCCTTCTCTGACATTGAGACTTGTCTGTTGACTAGCTACCTGCCTGCAGAGGCGCAGCTAGAGTGTTTGGCGCCCGGGTTCAAGATTCATTTTAAAGTGTCTCCTTTTCTTTTTTAACTCTAAAGCCCATTATTTTCATCAATAAATATCGAAGCACATTTTGGCGCCCCTAACTGGCTGGCGCCCGGGGACATCTGCCTCCCCCCTTCCCCCCCACCCCGCTAGCCTTCACTAAGCCTCTGCCTGCCTAACAAGTAGAATTGTATCCTCTCCATTGCTACCTGCCTGCTATTGTAAAGTTATAAATTATATCAGTCAGTGAACCAGCTGATGTCATCTGTCAGTAGACCAGCTGATGTCATCTGTTAGTAAACCAGCTGATGTTATCTGTCAGTAAACCAGCTGATGTCATCTGTTAGACAGAATGAGACAACACCGTCACAGTTCGATTGTTTGTAATCAATACCAATTTTAGACGGCTAAATATTCTGGTCCTTTGAACGTCATGAATAGTTCAATAGTGGGATCATAATGTGGGTGAGCCTCGCCAGCTGTACGATGCAAGCAAGTTTCTCCATGAGTGCAGGCCGATGTCCTTGGATTGAGGGGCACTTTTAAATATTTGAAATTTTTGATCAGCGTATCAGCTGATCGCTCTCTCTGTATAGTTAACCGTACATTAGTTTTGTATGCAGTATTCTGCCTGACGTACTCTCTGTATAGTTCACCGTACATTAGTTTTGTATGCAGTATTCTGTCTGATGTACTCTCTGTATAGTTCACCTTACATTAGTTTTGTATTCAGTATTCTGTCTGATGTACTCTCTGTATAGTTCACCGTACATTAGTTTTGTATACAGTCTTCTGCCTAACGTACTTTCTGTATGGTTCACCATACATTAGTTTTGTATGCCGTCTTCTGTCTGACGTATTCTCTGTATAGTTCACCGTACATTAGTTTTGTATACAGTCTTCTGCCTAACGTACTTTCTGTATAGTTCACCATACATTAGTTTTGTATGCAGTCTTCTGTCTGACGTACTCTCTGTACAGTTCACCGTGCATTAGTTTTTATGCAGTCTTCTTCTGTCTGACCTAATCTCTGTATAGTTCACCGTAAACTTGTTTTTTTTTATGGAATCCGATGTCTGCCATTCTCGCAACATGTCCAGTCCATCTTACTAGTCTAGCATTTTTTGTAAAAATGTGTTGATATCGAGAAAGCAGGTTTGTTGTTTGACTTCTGTATCAGGGCCACTGAGCCCTGCCACCGTATGCCAAGAAGCATGCGCCAGCAAAGTAGGCATAAATTATCACGTTGTCTAACATGTCTCCTGCAGACTCTCCATGTGTGGTATATACCGTCCTTGTCTTGCTGGTGTATAGTAGGCTACATAACTTAAGCTTGGTGTTAAGACTTAGACACTTTGGAGCCCAGACACACCTGCGGGGTCTTCCGAAATTTGCAGTTCTGGGACATCTACCCCCTCTGCCCCCAAGCTACACCTCTGATGTGATAGCAGTGGTGCTGTTAACGTCCCTAATATATGCACGCTACGTGCACTTTTCAGTCAGCTCCAAGTCGATCGAGTCACGAGCGTCAGGCACGATCGTTTCTAAAAATAGATATCACGTGGTTCTCTTTTCATTTAGAGACTATTGTTATGGCTCAGTTTTTCTCTAAGGTTATCATACCGTGACTACATCACATTGTGCTGTCTTTTAAACGCACCTCGTTCAACGATTTAATCACTTTACACGTCGTATATGATAATTCAAGCAGGTGTAAAAAAAGTAGAATTGTGTTTAATATCAAGGGCTGTTTTCTGCAATTGTTGAAGTCCACAGTTAGAAGAATTCCTTATTATTTGGGGTGTATAAAATTGAAGCGCTTGATGCTCATCAAGGTCTCCTTGATCAGCTGCTATGTTCACTAGACCTGGACATAAGTGACATTTAATCATATGCTATGTTCTCTATACACGGCCACTGGTCGCTTTCAATCACATTGATATTTTGACGTAAATGTTAGTATATTTGATGGTGTGCAATAAATTCCCTCCATGAACCATGGTTAGATGCACGGGGATTTTTAAACTATTTTTTAAAATAAATAGCATTTAACACAGTTAGTAGTCCGAACCGTGGTACTGTTAATTGCTTCATGCGTTTTCATAACTATTTATTGGAAGGAAAAAATGTCACTATATATAACTATTCTTTTAACCAGGCTGACGAAGATCTTCAGGTGAAGCTGGAGCACTTGGAAGACAACGGTTACCTCAACAATACGTTACTGGTCATTATGGCGGACCATGGGGCCAGGTATACTGACGTCAGAAGAACTCTGTCCGGAAAACTGGAGGAGCGGATGCCGTATGTCAGTTTCCGGTTCCCGCCATGGTTTGAGGATCAATACCCAGACATCGTGCAGAACGTGAGAACCAATGCGCACAGACTCACAACCCCGTTTGACATACACGAGACATTTAAAGAGGTTCTCAGATTTACAGGGGGCGGTGTGGGTAACGTTAAAAACCGTGGGATAAGTCTGTTTAAGGAGATCCCCAAATCTCGCACGTGTGCGCACGGTGACGTTGCACCACATTGGTGCGCATGTCTCTNAGTTTCCGGTTCCCGCCATGGTTTGAGGATCAATACCCAGACATCGTGCAGAACGTGAGAACCAATGCGCACAGACTCACAACCCCGTTTGACATACACGAGACATTTAAAGAGGTTCTCAGATTTACAGGGGGCGGTGTGGGTAACGTTAAAAACCGTGGGATAAGTCTGTTTAAGGAGATCCCCAAATCTCGCACGTGTGCGCACGGTGACGTTGCACCACATTGGTGCGCATGTCTCTCATGGCATGAGGTCAACCCTAACAGTGACATCGGGAAGAGGGTTCTCCAAGCGGCCATAGACAACATCAACAGTTTTACAGCGCCGTATCGACCGGACTGTGTGGAACTGACCATTGGTAAAGTCACCGCGATCAGTAAACACATGCTGAGGGAAGAGGTGCTGAGATTTTCAGAGACGACCGGAGACAGGGGGGACAAACCCGTCATGTCCGACTCACATGTCCACCCGTACAAAGCAATCTACCAGGTGACATTCTTCACAGAACCAGGTCATGGGGAGTTCGAGATCACTCTTGAGCACCTGGTGAACGTGGACCAGATAACCTTGAACCCCAAGGCCATCAGTCGCATCAACAAGTAAAAGCAATCTACCAGGTGACATTCTTCACAGAACCAGGTCATGGGGAGTTCGAGATCACTCTTGAGCACCTGGTGAACGTGGACCAGATAACCTTGAACCCCAAGGCCATCAGTCGCATCAACAAGTATGGCACCGATCCTGCGTGCATACTAGACAAGAACCGTGAGATCAGACAGTTTTGTTACTGTAACAATCACAGCCTATCCAAGAGTCGGTAACAATGGTTACATAGGATTACAAACGTTACAGTTGACTCTGTCGGTGTGATTGTTTACTCTATTGGTTTGATTGTTTACTCTGTTGGTTTGATTGTTGAATCTGTTGGTGTGATTGTTGAATCTGATGGTATGATTGTTGAATCTGTTGGTTTGATTGTTGAATCTGTTGGTGTGATTGTTGACTCTGTTCGTATGATTGTTGACTCTGTTGGTATGATTGTTGACTCTGTTGGTGTGATTGTTGAATCTGATGGTATGATTGTTGACTCTGATGGTATGATTGTTGACTCTGTTGGTGTGATTGTTGAATCTGATGGTATGATTGTTGACTCTGTTGGTGTGATTGTTGAATCTGATGGTATGATTGTTGACTCTGATGGTGTGATTGTTTACTCTATTGGTTTGATTTTCTACTGATATAATGAGGGAAAAAATGATAAGGTGTTACAAAGAAAAATTCCTTGCTTGCTTTGAGCTGTAAATCTGAGACAGCGGTGTAAAGAAGGCGAGGGTTGTATTATAGAATCGTTGGGGTCACTAAGGAATTAATTGCTACATTGTGTCAGTTGCAGGTCCCAGTCACCTTGCATATTTCAGGACCAAGTCACTATGCATGTTTCAGGGCCCAGTCACTATGCATGTTTCAGGACCAATTCACTATGCATGTTTCAGGGCCAATTCACTATGCATGATTAATGATTAGTGCCCAGTCACTATAACTGTTTCAGGGCCCAGTCCTTATGCATGTTTCAGGGCCAAGTAAATTAGCAATGTTGCATGGTCCGCTCACTTTGCATGTTCCAGGGTAAAATCACTATGCATGGTTAGTGCCCAGTCACTATGCACGATTCAGGGCCAAGTCACTATGCACGTTTCAGGGCAAAGTCACTATGCCTTTTTCAGGGCCAAGTCAATTTGCAATGCAATGTTGCATGCCCCAGTCACTATGTATGTTTCCGTATCCGGAAATTTGATCGAAAGAAATTTCGTCGACGGTAAATTGATCGACGGTAATTTGATCTAACGGAAATTTGGTCGAATCTTTTATTCAGTTTTTACGTTAACATTTTGTTTCAAATTCCTTTTTGAACGCATTATTTTGTTTTACTCTATAATAGAGTGCGTTCAAAAAGAAATTTGGCGAAAATTTTAACGTGTGAACTGAAAAAAAAAAAAAAAAAAGGTTTCGATCAATTTACCGTCGACGAAATTTCTTTTGAGCAAATTTCCGGTAACCGTATGTCTCAGGGCCCAGTCAATATGTCTATTTCAGGGCCCGGCACTAAACTTATTTCAGGGCCCCAGTGAAAGCCATTTATATTATCCTGCCCTATATCAAAATAAATATGACATTTATTTATGCATTCTACAACGCTGGACCGCCAGGACGTTTTCAGACTGGATCTTTGTATAGAAATAAATCAAATTAATGAGCTGCCCAAGAGGCTGATTCCATATCACATATACATTTACGTTGTTGTTTGAATTTCCCCTTTTTCGGACCTCTTCTGTTTTTCTTCATATATTTCATCTTAAACCGGCACCCACCCCCCCTACCCCCGCATCTCTTGTCGACAGACAACATTGACATGACAAGAAAAACGCGATCACTACTTAAAGTACCACCCATTCACCACGCTCCACGCACGAGTTACCACTGCACTCTTCTATACAGAATATTTGGCGACCCACTTTCCAATGACATCAAAGGGACGTCACTTGAAATGTTAACATAATGTACATACACCGCCTGATTTAGCTAACCGACGTTAGCTTATTATTTTTATGTTTTTCTGCATTTCTTAAGATGTCGATGGGCCATAGAATAATCACGCCAATCAAATCATGCCACTAAAGCAGCAACTTCATGGATCACTCCTTGCGCATACCACTATAAGAACTCGACAAGCCTCATAAATCTATCCACCATGGCGCTTAACTCAAACATCATAAATCTATCCAACATGGTGCTGAACTCAAACATCATAAATCTATGCACAAAATGTTAAAATTAACGTGATTTCGGATGGTCATTGGCATAGGTCCAATGTAAAGATGAACCTTTAAAGTGTACATCAGTCTTCACAGTGCACTGCACCACTCAGTCTTTACAGTGTACTGCACCACTTAGTCTTCACAGTGCACTGCACCACTTAGTCCTTACAGTGCACTGCACCACTCACTCCTTACAGTGTACTGCACCACTCAGTCTTTAAAGTGTACTGCACCAATCAGTATTCACAGTGCACTGCACCACTCAGTCTTTACAGTGTACTGCACCACTCAGTCTTTAGAGTGCATGCACCACTTAGTCCTTAAAGTGTAAGGCACCACTTAACCTTTACAGTGCACTGCACCACGAGGTCTTTACAGTGCACTGCACCACGAGGTCTTTACAGTGCACTGCATCAGTCAGTCCTTACAGTGTAATGCACCACTCGGTTTTTACAGTGCACTGCCCCACTCAGTCTTCACAGTGCACTGCACAACTTAGCCCTTAAAAAGTAAGGCAACACTTAACCTATACAGTAGAGACCGACCGAAAGTGATTTTCTGATTTCGGCCGAAGCCGAAAATAGGCCGAAAGTTTTAAATGACTTGGTCGGTCTCTACTTTACAGTGCACTGCACCATTCAGTCCTTAAAGAATACTGCACCACTCAGTCTTTACAGTTGACCCCACCACTCAGTCCTTACAGTGCACTGTCCCACTCAGTCTTTACAGTGTACTGCACCACTCAGTCTTTACAGTGCACTGCACCACTTAGTCCTTAAAGTGTAAGGCACCACTTAACCTTTACAGTGCACTGCACCACGAGGTCTTTACAGTGCACTGCATCAGTCAGTCCTTACAGTGCACTGCACCACTCAGTCCTTAGAGTGCACTGCACCACTCGGTCCGTATTGGCAAATACGGGACATGAATGGCCTCCTGATGTGTTTTATTCGGCAGTTTTTATCAACGGTTAGAGAGATGTCTCCACGATCTAATAAAACCTCATTTATTAGGCCCACGTGTCACCAGTTATTGGAGAGATGTCTCCACGATTAAATAAAGCCTCATTTATTAGGATCACGTGTCAGCAGTTATTGGATAGATGTCTCCACGATCAAATAAAGCCTCATTTATTGGACCCATATGTCAGCATTTGGAGAGATGTCTCCACGATCAAATAAAGCCTCACTTATTAGGCCCATATGTTAGCATTTGGAGAGATGTCTCCACGATCAAATAAAGCCTCATTTATTAGGCCCATATGTCAGCACGATCAAATAAAGCCTCATTTATTTGGCCCACGTGTCAGCAGTTGGAGAGATGTCTCCACGATCAAATAAAGCCTCATTTATTTGGCCCACGTGTCAGCAGTTGGAGAGATGTCTCCACGATCAAATAAAGCCTCATTTATTTGGCCCACGTGTCAGCAGTTGGAGAGATGTCTCCACGATCATGTGACGATCTGAGGCTGGACTTTGTAAAATTTCTTATATCGTAAACCCGCCCTTGGAAACCCTTGTATAATAACTCCTGATGTGTTTTATTCGGCAGTTTTTATCAACGGTTAGAGAGATGTCTCCACGATCTAATAAAACCTCATTTATTAGGCCCACGTGTCACCAGTTATTGGAGAGATGTCTCAAATCCGTTTGATGTATATACATTGAGCACCACGAGTGTTTCACGTAGGAAGTTGTAAATATTATTGTGCAATAAATATTTGTAGTTAATTTCACCTTTAACTAAGACTTCGTTTCAGTCTATACTATATGTATATAGATATGTGTTATGTCCGTGTGGTTGTTCGGCTTAAATAACATGTTCGGGGGGGTGAGCGAAATGGTGCAGGAATACAGTATCACAAGGGAACTCACTCGTGCTGAGCGACTTCGGGGCAACTTGAGGGGAGGGAAAGGATTTATTATACAAGGGTTTCCAAGGGCGGGTTTACGATATAAGAAATTTTACAAAGTCCAGCCTCAGATCGTCACAGATCAAATAAAGCCTCATTTATTTGGCCCACGTGTCAGCAGTTGGAGAGATGTCTCCACGATCAAATAAAGCCTCATTTATTTGGCCCACGTGTCAGCAGTTGGAGAGATGTCTCCACGATCAAATAAAGCCTCATTTATTAGGCCCACGTGTCAGCATATTGGAGAGATGTCTCCACGATCAAATAAAGCCTCATTTATTGGACCCATGTGTATGCGCTGTGAATGACGTGACTGGCAATAAACACGCGTACATTAAAATGTGTAAAGATAAGATTGGAATCACTCTAACAGAAACGCCCGTCTCCTAAGCCAGACTGCACGAGTTATTCAGAGGCATGTTACCTGCAGTTCAGGGGTTTATTGGTGGAAGTAAACATAGGAGTTGTGTTTTTTGTTTGTATTTTTGATGGATTTATTATTGTCGTTTACTGGTGGGGTGATCGTGAGCTTTTATTGATAACTTTAATATGCAGCAGTCACGTACGGGCAGAGTTCCTCGGAATAATTTTACGAGAACCAGTGACTTAGAGATGTTTGGTTTATTTTTAAACGCTGAATTGTGTCTGAATGTTGGGTTGTGTGCTAATGTTGGTTTAGGTTCTGAATATTGGGTTGTGTGAGATTCTCAATGTTGGGGCTATGCCTGAATGTTGGGTTGTGTGTTAATGTTGGTTTGGGCCTGAATATTGGGTTGTGTGAGATTCTCAATGTTGGGGCTGTTCCTGAATGTTGGGTTGTGTGCTAATGTTGGTTTGGGTCTGAATATTGAGTTGTGTGTGAGTCTCAGTGTTGGGGCTGTGTCTGAATGTTTGCACCATCACATTGTAACCATCACATTGTAGCCATCACTTTGTAACTATCAACGTGATGTATTGGTGAATGAACCTTCCTTTCCAGTCAATGCTCTGATCAATATGTTTTGATTTTAAAGCAAAATTAATTGTACAATGAACCATGTTAAAAAAAAATATTTTTTTGTAATAATGTTTTATTGTTTAACATAATAGTTTA